ATGCCTGTAGTCCCAGCTACTCGGGAGGCTGAGGCAGAAGGATTGCTTGAGCCCGGGAGTTTGAGGTTGCTGTGAGCTAGGCTGACACCACGGCACTTTAGCCCAGACAACAGAGTGAGACTCTGTCTCAAAAAAAAAAAAAAAAAAATTTTTTTTGTAAAGACAGGGTCTCACTACGTTCCTCAGGCTTGTCTCAAACTCCTGGCTTCAAGCGATCTTCCTGCCGTTGCCTCCCAAAGTGTGAGCCACTTTGCCTGGCCTAAACTTTAATTTTTATAGCAGGTTTAGGTTCACAAATTGAGCAAAAAGTACAGAGAGTTTCCATACACCTCCTGTCCACCCTCTACATCCTTCCCCATCATTTCCCGCCAGACTAATACATTTGTTATAATCAAGGAGCCTACAGTGACACTTTATTATCACTGAAAATTCAGTTTACATTATGGTTCACTCATGGTGTTGCACATTCTGTGGGTTTTGACAAATATATAATGATATGTATCCACTGTTATAGTATCATACAGAGTACTTTCACCTTCCTAAAAATCTTCTGTGTTCTGCCTATTCATCTCTCCTCCCTGCCCCCAGCAACACTAATCTTTTCACTGTGTCCATAGTTTTGCCTCTTCCAGAATGTCATATAGTTGGAATTATACAGTATGTAGAACTGACCAAGCCTTTGTACCCCACTCCCTCAGTCACTAGATGTGGCTGTGCAGGGAAGGGCATGACCTGGGGTGAGGTGGCTCTGCAGTGGAGGCAGACCCTGTAGGAGATGGCAGCTAGAGGCCAAGCAGCAGCAAGGCCCTTATTGAGGGGCACCACAGTGGCACTTTTTTTTAGAACTATAGAAATGATCCCTGAAAGTACAGTCTTTGGATGGTGCATTTTGACAAGGATTCTGTCCTTGACCTAACTCTAGCCAGGGTCCTCAGAGCCCTTGTCTCTACTAGGTCTTCAGCTTGGCCTCTTAAGACTTGAAAAAACGCTGACGTAGTTTCTAATAGTTCAAAGCCTCATTCTTAGGATGTCCCCAGCCTCCCTTAAAGTGCCTGACAAAACCCAAGGCTGCCAAAAGGAAACTTACTTGTTCCACCAACACCTGGAGATAGGTCCTTCCATCCGCCCCAGGGAAGGTAGGAGCCTAACTTCCATTAGCTCCAGTTAGCAAACTCAGATGGGCTTCACACGGACCAACACGAGCCCAGTTCCCGCTTTTTTTTTTTTTTTTTTTGAGACAGAGTCTCACTCTGTTGCCCGGGCTAGAGTGACGTGGCGTCAGCCTAGTTCACAGCAACCTCAAACTCCTGGGCTCAAGCGATCCTCCTGCCTCAGCCTCCCGAGTAGCTGGGACTACAGACATGTGCCACCATGCCCGGCTAATTTTTTCTATATAATTTTAGTTGTCCAGCTAATTTGTTTCTATTTTTAGTAGAGACGGGCCCTTCCTGCTTTTTATCTTCTTTCTCTCCCGGACTCTGCTGGGCCTCTCCGCACTCCATTCTCCCTTGCACGGGCAGCCACCCTGAGCTAAGCAGAGTTGAGCTTAGTTCGTGCTGGGCGCTTTCCTCCACTGCAAAAGTATATTGCTAACGAAAATCCATCCTTACCACTTCAGCCAGTGTCCGCATTACCTCTGCCATTCTCCGTGTCCGTGTCCACCACACCCGCCCGCCGTCCTCACCGCACTGAGCCGTCTCCCGGAGCTGCACCCTCAGCGCGCCGGCCCGCCCGCTCCGCCGCGGCGTGGGACCCGCAGCCTGGCCTGGACGCGTCCTCGGACAGTGAGGGGATGCGAGGCCTGCCTGCCCACCCCGCGCCGGCGGGACCCTCGTGCTCTGGAGACACTCCTCGCCGGCCTGTCTCCCTGCCGAGTTGTTCCGGACCCTCGGGCCGGCTCAGTAGCGAGGGTCCGGGGCGGCGGGGGAGATGGAAAGGACCCCGGGCCCGCGCGCGGGGTTCACCCGGCCAACCCCGCGCCCGCGCGCCCACGGCTCGGCGGCGCGGCTCAAGGCGGCGATTGGGCGCGCGGCCGTGACGTCACCGCGCGCGGCGCCGGGGGCCCTGGACCGGGCCGGGCGCGCGCCGGCGAGTAGCAGGAGCGGGGCGCGC